AAAGAAAGATTAATAATCAACTTTTTAGTTTCTACTAGGAACCACCTGCCCTCCAGATTTTACAGAAACAGCTTTCTTATTGCTTTCTTATTTCAAAAGTGTTCTGAACCATGTCATGTGTCCCATGGTAGCCCCAGACTCGTTTTCTATTATTCTTATTGCTATTATTAAAAATGAATTAATCTTCTGCCCTCGGGAACGGCAGATCAGTGTGGCTCTTGCAAACCCTAGCAACGTAAGCAAGGCTGGATTTTAAGGTTTGCAGCCAGAGGTTATGGGCAAAAGGTAGAGAAACTCACTAAAAAAGACAATTTGACTGCTTTAGTTGCTGCCATTCAAAGCCCAATGTACTAATGTAAATTGCCATTGATTTCACTTAATACACCAGTCTGAATCGTGACAGCTGATGGCTTTGATTCATGATCACTGTCAAAGTGAACAGCAGCAGCTGAGGTGGATGCCACTCCCTTTGGTAATAACACACACTTGTCTCGCACAGTAAAGTGCAAATGCAACCAGTTAAAAAGAACTTTTCTAAAGATTGACATGCGTGGACTAGGGGAAAAGGGGAAGAAAAAAAAAAAAGTCACACATTTATTCCCAGTTTGGGGCAAGAGAGATCTATTGGAAGAAGCCTGAAATCTGAAAGCTACCTCTAGACTACTGTGCTGTACACTAACTTATGATTCTTTCTACTAAGAGCAACTTTCCATCCAAAAATATAATAATAATAAACACATAGACATTGGGACAAAGACTAAATTACTTCTGAAGATCTTAGTTCCCACATAAATGAAGAATATATAACAAAATGCTTCTGGAAACAGCTTGACTTGCTCCCTCCCGAGTACTTGGATAATTCAGAACAGAGGAAGGTGTTACATGGGTTCCTATACTTTCATACAAATCTATATCTAGCTGCCTGTAATGAAGACCACTGGAGTCTTCAAATTACTGTGAAAGCAGGTTGCTTTTGATTTTTATGGAGTATGACACATAAAAGCAAGAAACACATACACATCCTGAAAACATATTTTGCTTGGCGACAGCAACAGTTGGAAGGACAGGTCGAAACAGCCAACCTCTTTTAGGTTTCCCCCTGCTCCTTCCAAGAACCAATACCTTTTAACTCAAGGGTTACTTTCCCTAAACTAACATCAATGGTTAATTTAAGACCTATTTAGCTATTTTTCTCTCTCATTATCAATAGATAACATCCACTTTTGGTTGACTTTTAGGTGAGATGACTTACATCATCAGCAAGTTCCAGCAATAACCTGCCTTGAGGTATAAGACAAAACATAGGTGGACTGATCAAAATGGTCCAGACTGAAGCACAAAATAAATTATATCAGAGTGAAAATCCTTTAGCCTGTTGGTTGCTTATACTCAGGAGGAGATGAAGGACTGTGGTAGTAGGGCAACTTTGAGCCAGCTGTGGGAAAAGACTAGTTAAATACCAAAAAGGTGCAGAGGCAAAATGTCTCAATTCTGCTTCCGTTCCCATAGGAATGGGCGTTTATATCTCAGCTGACTGCACAGAAATTCACTGAGATATTTTACATGAAGATTGAACTTCTCGTCAATAAGATCAAGAAAACTGGTTATACAAAGAAGCAAATCTCTCCTGGCATATTATTATGAAATATTTCTGTTCTCACATACTATGAATGTGTTCACACTTGCTTGTGAATTAGATTCAGATAGTTTAATGAACTATTGCATGGAGGAAGCCGAGTTAAAAAAAAATAGTTGCAAGGAGATAAGTATATAACACACATTCTCTGTCACCATCACAATGAAAAGTACCCTCTGAGTTCAGACTTACACAAGACTACCTAGTTATCCTATGGGGTCTACGTTAGTTCATGACCTATGGCATATAGACACAGATGAGCTATTTTTAAGGTGTTAATAATATTTATCATTGAGAAAAGTCCTTAGAGGAAACTTCATTAGAGATCAATTTCAAGAAGCATCTTTGACACAATAAAAAAAAAATTGCTTTTAAAAATCAAGAAGGATGTATGAATGTTGACAATCCAGGTTTTACATAGCAGAAAATGAAAACAAAACAAAACCAAAAACCTAAGAGGATAATTACATAAAACGCTGGAAATATTCAGATTTCCCCACAACATTTCACAGAATGGCTATCGCAAAGGAAGCAGTTTGAATATCATGACAACAACAAATTTCCAAGAGAGACTTAACTGAGGAGCAGATACATTGATAAAGCAAACAGTATCTACTACACTCCCTCTACCCACAGAGCAAGTCATCTCATCACAGAAGTCGATCGGGTTGGTTGAGCACTATTTGCACTCGGTAAATTCATGCTGACTGCTTCCAGAAGGAGTTATTTGAGAGATATGACATAAAAGCAGTATAGTGAAAGCTATAGATTTTGTCTGTGGCTTTCTGTTAAGTCCATGGGATACCATTTCATAGCTTTGTTCAGAGTTGGCATATCATAGTACAGACCATCAGATTAGACTTTTCCTCAAGAAGGCCTCAAAAATATTCTGAAGCATTATGACGAACCTAAAACAGAAATGTTAGGCATCCCATGGAAAAAACAGATCATTAGTTTCAGGTGTGTAAAATAGAGAAAACAAAGATTCACAAAGGTGGCAGAAATTGCCTCAAATTAAATTTGAAAAGGATGCATTTGACTTGAAGTTACTGCAAAAAATCAGGCAAGACAGCAGGCCTCTGCAATTCAGGACTTCCATTCCCCCCTCCCTCCAGTAACTTTATATACTATCTTCTGTCCATAAAAATACATGATTTTTCCTAGGGATGGATTATTACTGCATATAAAAAGAATACAGAGTTTATCATTTATCAACTTTCAGTATCTTAGCTGTAAATTTTAATAAGTGAAAGATATTTGCTTTTAGAAGGAATGAACTAACATGCCTGTAGTAGATTGGGGGTTTTTTGAAGAACTTTTTTTGGAAAATGATAGTAAATCATTTAAATGAGACAAATCCATTTAATGAACTGGGCCCATTTGCTAGTACAACATCTGCCTAGCAATGTTTTTATTTCAGTAGCTTTAGTGATTGTAGCAGAGCTAATTAAAGAAAAAACCCACAAAGAATAGAAAACAGCAGGCTTACAAGCTTGCTGTAAAAAAAAAAAAATAATAAAAATAACCTGCACTGGCTAGTACTGATTCCTTAATGGCTCAGTTGCTTCATATTTATTATCAGCTCGCAAGGATATCTCAGATTGTTCTCGCTTGGTTATCCCCACAATAATCCTTTGCATTTCCTTTTACTAAAACAAGGATAATGCCCAGCAGGAGGCTTTAAGTTTTCTAGAAAATACCAGTATGAAACTTCAATGTATTGTTTTGAGATCATTGACTTAAATGTTGTAACTTGAAATTCTGCATTTCATATTCTAATATTGCCTTCTTGTGGGGGTGAAAAAAAAAGCTAACATTTAAAGCAAGCACTAAGCACTGCTGTCACCTTTCTGAACCAAGATTTTATTTGTCCTTACTTTCCTTTGTATAATTTCTCAATAACTGAACTGTCATTTAGTATTTTTATTAATGCATTGCTTTTAAGTCAGTCAATTAGTCTGAAAGCCATTTTATTTTAGAATGATTTACTTTCATTTTTATTGCCCAGTTCTCATCATTGAGAAATACCCATATTAAGTATGAAGCACAATAATAAGCACATGAAGCTGAAGTGTTCTATATTTTAATATCCTGTTTTTAAGGGACAAAACCATTTGCCAAACAGAAGACCAACTTTTATGAAGATGTTTAAAATTTTATCATAAATTAATGAGAAAAAAATTGTGCATAATTTGACTGACAGCAATCGTGCTTTAACCCATTCTCTTTTAAGTAAATTCTAGCTTGGCAGTCCTAGGAAACCTCTCACACAAAAAAGCACAGATGCTCTGCATTGTTCTTGTTCACCAACAAGCAGGAAGCAATAGGTTTGTTACAGCCTGGTGAATTATGTTTAAAACTTGTTTTTCATATGAAAGATAAGAAAGACTGTGTGTATCTGCCAGCTACTCCAGGTCAACTGCATTGCTGGAGTCCTTACACCCAGTTGCTTCATGAACACTCATTTTCATTTATCTAGTCCCTTTCAACATTTGTCTTTCTAGATAATTTTTTTTCCAAGTAGTCATTAGCTCAGAAGAGACAGATTGCACGATGTAAAGCATAAATACTTTTAGCAAAGATATGACTGAAGTTTAGACAAACAGCAGAAGGAAGAGCCTTCGTAGAGTTGGTCAAATTACATTTCTGAAACAGATTTTTCCTCTGCTCTCCATTACAACATTCCCCACCAAAAAAAAAAAAAGCACGATGGACAAGAAGAGGAGGACACATTTTGAAACTGGCACAGGAGAGCTCAGGTGCTTGCTTGCGTCAATGTGGCACCTGTTGGTTTAGTTCCCTGCTAACAAAATTCTTCATCAATCTTTTTTTTCTCCTAGACCTTCCAAGCAGCATCTCCTCACTGAAGATTTCAGAACACAATCTGAAATCTACATATAAAAATGCAGCATACAATATTAATCAAAGTGCATTTACTACAGTGAAGTGAAAATTTGTTCTGTGCTTTTAAGACGACAACCAAAACCAAGACAAGCAGAAAGTCTTTGGATTGCTTTTGGCAACTTGAATACTTGAGAGCATCTTGATTATTTTTGAGTAGATAATTTGTTAAAGATGGAATGTGCTTCATGAAAGGCGAAAGAAAAAGAAAAGAACAGCCCAATCAAAACTAAGGAGCATATTTCTTTCAACCCAAAAGCTTTTATCACACACCTGTGCTTTTATAAACAGTGTCAGCAAAACAAACTTTGCCAATATGAATTTCTTATAAATATGTATTGCTCATTTCTGAATTTTTATTTTATATCTGAATGTAATTTAACCCTACACACACATCAAGCAACAGAGAGCACATAATCACCAACACCTTAGTGGCACAAAAGCAATTCAAACATCTGCTGACCTTTGGGGAGAGGCTGGCTGCAGTTTTCTTGTGTCAGGATTTCAGACAGGAATACGGTAATCGTGGAAAGCACCTAAAGTATTATATGAAATTACACGTTTAGCATGTTAATCCATAAATAAAATAAAGGTAAGATATAAAAAGACAGCTATTAATAGCAATATCTTCTCTCTGAAGATATCCAACACATCCTAATTAACTTTGATGATTTATTGACCTATTTTTATAGATGTAGTAGCTGAGTGAACAAGCGAAGGCTGAGCTCAAGATAAGTAGCTCAAGGACACACAGGACCCCGTAGTAGGCCAGAGTCAAACATTCATCTCCTTACTCCCCGCTTCATTCCTTAAGCAGATTATTTTCTGAATATGCAGCATTAAGACAAGTCTTCCTCTTGTCTTCCACTTCAAACACTCATGAATATTTTGATATATGAGAAATTTGAGGTACAATACAGATAAGCTCTTACCACATTCCAAAATTGAGGAATTGCCCACAATCAGTGTTGTCCCCTTCATATGAGAACTTCTAGGACAGCTGTTTCTCCCTCTGTGATCTGATTAGCAATACTGAGGTACAAAGGACATGTGCTGCAAGATGAACACTGGGGGGAGAAGTTATATATTTGATATTGTATTACATTATACTTTTTATTATGTGACTATATACATTATATATCTTGTAGTATCTATAAATTATATGTATTTTTATATAGAAAGATCTTCATCAACAAGTATATTCATGAGATGGTTCCTTCAAATTTCAAACTAAGCAGCAAATAGTATATTCTAAATTATTCTGTAAAATCACTGTAAATTAATTCAAGCTAGAAGGGTCATTCCACGTGTATCAAAAATATGACTTTTTAGTCTATTGCATCACAAGATAATTCAGGGTTGTAGGGCAATGATTAAGTGACAAAAGGTTTCAGTTAATTAATTGTGTTTTTTTAAAAAGGTTCACAAGGGAAAGGGCAGGAGAGATTAATTGATTTATTATACAACAATGCTGCTACTGCTAATTAAATCTTTCATTAACATCTTATGAGAATGGGAGATACCCATCTCTTCCTTTTATCTCTTGTATTCATTGATAAAAGTAGCAGTATAAATTTTTTTCTGTGTTCTTCTGTTCCTAATAGTTACAAAAGCCTAGTAGACCCATTCTGCTCTCCTTTCATCTTACTAAAAATATGAAGATATGGACAAAATGGAGCAATTTATAAAAAAAATTACTCCCTCCTCCTTTGAAAGGAAAACATATTTCCAGTTATGTAGACATTTCCACCAATTCAGTGAGGACTCCAAGATTTCTGGCTCTCCTTTTATCCTGATTTCTACTGTGACTGCACCTCATCTCTATCTCCTGATCATAGCTGTCGTCTTTTCCAACTCACCACTTGATAGCATTGAACATGAGAATCCATCCAAATCAGATCGCTGGGTGTGGCAGACACTGTTAACCAAAAGGATAGCTATGAAGTGGAGAAAAAAAAGAGCAAGGAGAGCTCTAGGAATCTGTTTTCCATGTTTTGGTAAACAAATCCTTTGGAAACTATTTACCCGTGTTAAATCACTTTTTCCGTTGAGACGACCTCACCTTTTGCTCCCTGAATTCTCAGGGCTGTGGCAGTGCCTCAGGAAGCATCCTCACACTAGGGTCTGTCACAGTTCTTCAGTATCAATCTAATTATCCCCCAATTTAATTTGCACTATTAGTTAAGCTACTGTTTTATAAAGCCAGGCAAATGTCAGAAAAGTAAACTGTCACAAGAACTTGGAAAAACAATGAACAAAGTGTATTTCAGATGGTAGATAATCTGATAATATCTCACAACGGCCTAGAAAAATTAGATTCTTGTCTGTACTTGTAGACACTAACCTAACAACTAGAACACAAAACCCAGAAGTAATAGAAAGATGTCAAATAATGGCTTAGGTTAGTGAGATTAAAGGAGAAAGGATGTTAAAACTGCTAGAAATAACAGTACAAATGCCCATTTCAAAATGGAACGCCCTAAGTTATCAGCTTAGAAGAATGATCTTTGCCTTGCTAGTAGCATCTCAAGAAAGGCCCAAGTATCTTTACTTCAATAATAATAAAATAAAATTCTACTCTTCATTTTAAAATAACTGTCTTCAGCTGGAAGGATGATTTTCTGAACAAGTAAGATTTCCCAAATAAATGTACAGATACACTTAGATATTTGTTGTTTACAGATACATAAAAGTACAAGAAATAAACCAGAAAACGATATGCATTCTCAGAAATGTATGTCTAGAATTTACCAAAATAAACTTCATGGAAATTAAATACCTGTCATTTTTATATAGTACGTGGAAAAGTAAAAAAATGTTAAGAATTATTGTTAAAACAGGCTCCAGAGATGGAGGAAATAGAGACTTGTTACACTCTCATTGTTAAAGCAAGAGCACAAACTAAGAAGTGCTTTGAACAGGATTATTATTTCTTGAAATATTTTCACTTCACCAAATACATATATTTCATACACAGAAACCTCTAAGTATTTCATGTTTTCTCCTAGGTGAGCCTTGGAGAGAAAGCTAATCTTTGCTGATTTCAAATACAAGAGTCTTCCAAGACTTGGGTCAGCTTCAGAAGGAAAACCGTATCTTCAATGAAAAAAAAAAAAAATCAACTTTTTTCTTTAAAAAAAAATTCATAGCATTTACTGAACATATTACTAGATACAAGCATCCAATCAATCAAGTCAACGTAAAATGAAAAAAAACCATTTAGATAAGATTTATAAAACACTTACTAAATTGGCAAGCTTTATACGTCCTAGTAAAGTCGGGATTTCTCCCATTAAAATTAAAGCTTTCATATTTGCACTTCACTGTATCATCATTACAAAACAGGCACGCACAACTTCAATAACAAAGGGAATTTATGTTTTTCAAGAACTTACACCTGAACATTTTATTCAAGCTGTTTTATTACTGATTACCATCTAGTTCGACTACTGAAGTGTTCACAGAAATCTCTGCATAAAAAAGGATGACATAAATCCTTTTCTGGTGTGAATATATACTACAAATATATAACCCATGCAGAACAAGAGCTGGTGTTTAAAATTTCACTGCATTTATTAACAAGAATATTAAGACAAAATAAAACCTGGCTCAGAGACAGGTGATATACCAAAATATAACTATATTATAATCTTAAATAGATCCAATACCAAAATTACAAGGCACCAGTATTACTGCAGTATTGCTTACATCCACAATACCAGCCTAAGCTCATATGCCCTTACGCTGCTCTCTTATTTCTATGCTATCCCTTTCTCCTGTCCCTAAACTGGGCTGGGACCATTTGCACAGATAATCAGCTCCTGTGACAAAGGAGGAACAGAGCTAGAGCTGGGCCATGCTCTTCTCATTTTCTCCTCTTTGTCTTTGAACACGCTGGTATAGGGCTAATAAGCGTGAGTGAATGGGCATACAAAGCACTAAACGCTTTTTGTTTGGGGTTTTGTGATTGGTTGGTTGGGTTTTTTTATTTTGGTTTGGTTTTTTTGTTTTAATCCTTCCATACCATCTCCAAGTTGGTACCATCTACCAACTCTTACCATCACCAAGTTTTTTCTCCCAGGAAATTAACACTATGTAGTAGTGAAAGATCATCCTTGACACATAGTACAGAGCCCTAGAACTGCATCAAAGGCACAGTGGCTGCAGGATACCCATTTTCAGATCACAGATTTATGTGTAAATACACTACGGAAGCAAGTGGGGAAAAAATATGACTGAATGCTGAGAATTTTTTTTCATCAGCATGCAGTATAAATGGATAGTTTACAGTGAGACAATGAAACATATAGATAAACAGATAGACGCAGCCTCAGGGCTATATTCTGAGTTAGAGAACATTTAGATTAGAATATCTTTTCTGCAGAGGCATCTGTGGAATTCCAGCCCTCCTACATACCTATGCTAATTTTACTTTCCTAATCCCCCCAGGACAGTTAAATTATCTTTTCTTTTTTTTTTTTTTTTCTCCCTGCCTTTAGCAGTCTTCTCTCTTCTACAGGGAAAAAGGCTGTTCCTAAGTTGCTGATCATTTGGATCTCTCAGAAAATTAATCAGTAGTCCAAAAGAAATTAGGTGGCTATTGGTGAGCATAACACATAATCACTGCAGTATTTTACTGAAAATTAAATCGTCTCCTCCCTAGGGAGAGAGACCTCACTTAAACATTTTCTCCAGAAGCACAAAGTACTCCAGAATATGGCAGAATCCTCAAGGTTGTTCAACATCTTTTTTTTTTTTTTTTCCTCCCTGCCTTTAGCAGTCTTCTCTCTTCTACAGGGAAAAAGGCTGTTCCTAAGTTGCTGATCATTTGGATCTCTCAGAAAATTAATCAGTAGTCCAAAAGAAATTAGGTGGCTATTGGTGAGCATAACACATAATCACTGCAGTATTTTACTGAAAATTAAATCGTCTCCTCCCTAGGGAGAGAGACCTCACTTAAACATTTTCTCCAGAAGCACAAAGTACTCCAGAATATGGCAGAATCCTCAAGGTTGTTCCCAGCGATTTTGGATAATAGACAAACAACACCAAAACCCTAAAGAATTGCTTGGTCCATTCTGTTCAGACTGAGTATCAACAGGCATACGTAGATTAATTTTATTTAGATTTGGCTCCAAAAGGCACTTTTCATGATAGGCTAATCCAAATGTTTTTACAAAAAGTGTAATGTAGTTGGCTTTTCTAACTGCAGAAATACTTTTGCTTGCATATATTGAAGCTGATTGGCAATTGGCAGACAGAGAAGAGGGAAATGAGGAAACAGACCTTTTAGTGGCTGTGAAGCCCACCTACATTGCTTTGCCAGTTTGCTCCTGCAAAAAAAAGAGCTGCCAGCACTTCAGAGTGGCTGCAGAGGCACAAAGACCTGCCCAGAGGCCTGTGGATTCCTGATAAATCCCTTCCTTGCAGCTACTAGAAAAAGACACAAGAAAATCCCTCTGGAAGGAGGGAAAAAACCCAACCCAAACCAGCAAACCCAGTCATTCTACAACATTTGAACAACTTTTTGATACATAAAACATCCCTAAATAGTCTCATTAACATAAAGGTAGACCCTGTCCTGCCATTATTCATAACTCGTTAAGCTGGCTCTTTTCTAAGCGACAAACCAGTATGAGTTGCTGATATCATCAATTCTCTACCCTGTAACTCCAGTCTTCTTTTAATGCTTCTGTACCAGAGTTACTTAAAAACAGCATTATGTGGTCATGCTGAGTAATTAAAGCTGTTAGATTCATAACTAATATAATTTGTTCTTATTTCCTCTGCTCCTATTCTCTCCTTGTATCCCGGTGAGCTTGAAATAATCAGTCCCTGTTCAGAAAGCATCATAACATAAAATAAACTAGCTAAAGTACTAGCAATAATTTCCATTTATGGAAAAAGTTAATGGTAGTTGTAAATGCACCTATTAAGTGATTACATTCCTAATAAACTTGTCTTTATTATGCTGTGTAAATACATAGGACTGGTAGGACATCGAGCTTTTATGTTACATAGCTGATGTTTAATCTTGCTAAAAATAGAGAGTAAAGTGAATATTCCATACTAAAATTTACTGCGATGTATTAGCTACAGACCTTGTTTCCTTGGACATCAAGAATTTTGAAACTACTAACTAAAGATCAGATGCTAAAATTCCCTTCTATTCTTAACATTAGCTCTCAGGTTACAAACATACTGGTTGCTTTTTTAGCAGTCCCATTCCCAAACGTCTTATATGTCTTTCTTATGTCTTCTGATTTTTTTTTTTT